TTGAGTCTATTATTCTGTTCAGGCAAATATACAAAAGTGATTAACCATTTCCCTTTTTTGAGAAGGTAAAGCACCTGAGCCCTATTGTGTAAATGGTTAAAGTGGATGGTGATTAACTGAGACGAATTAATCAGGCCTTGTTACCATTAACATACCTAAGACAAATACTCAGAAAGGTGCATAGACTATTGGCCTGCAGAAACTAAAGGAATTGAAGACACATTCATTACACATAAGTCAATTTATGAAATATTCAATCCTTATATGCCACAGTGAAATCAACAAACAAAGTTTGTGTTAAGCTTAAAAGAAATGACATGATACAGAATGTTTTCATATAAAAATGTATTTTTTACTGATACATTGAAGAAAATTCATCTGGGATGAAGAGATAAAAAATATCTTAGGTATGGCAGAGACACTGGACCAATCTCGAAATTCAACCACATTTGTTTACAGCAATAGAATAGTTCTAAAGAAATGTGAAATACATCAAATTCTCATATCATGTATTTGTTTGATCTTCAAACTTCATCTTGATAATATCCTTGATGACAAGTTACTCTGAGCATAGAAAACACAAACATCTTGACACACTTACCTAATTGGTGAAAAAGGTGAACACATAAAATCCATCATTCTCTTACTAGTATCTACACATAAATGATTCTCTAAAATTTCTTGTTTGTATATATACTTGAAAAGTCATACATAATACTGTTAAACTTTCAAGAAGATATTATCTGAAAAGTGCTGCCTCTGGCCATCTAGATTCTCACTTATAAAAAGCATCTTTCCCCTGAAATCAATGATTTTGTGCTTCAGGCCATGAACATGAGCAGTGACACTGAAGTGATAGGTGTTTTGGGAATTCCCTGATAATATCTTGCATGTCTTGCAGTAAAACACCTGTCAGGGCTTATAGTGCTTATTGCACCTTACTAAGACATAAATCACACTTCAATCACTAACTCAGACAGTTCATAAACAATCAATTTCATGTAGACAATCATATCAGTGTCATATCAAGGCATATGGCATATTTAGAGTTCCCACTTGAGAGTATAGTATTTAAACTTTAAACAATTATTGTGCTCCAACATCCTTACTATTTACGAGACGTTTCTCTTCCTTTATGCCCAGTAATGTGTGGTTTGAGCATACCTTTGCTCTTGTTGATCCTTGTAATTGTGATAAGGTAAGCCTGATGTTTCAGCTCCAGAGGATACTGTTACCAGTTCTTTCACAAAGGAACCCAATAAACAATTCCATAAACACTGGTGGAAATAAACTACATTATATTTTCACTTTATGAAGAATGTGACCATACCAACATTTCTATAACTATTGTCTTCAATAATAACTGTCTACACCTGGTCCTCATCCCTGTTTATGAAAAAATAATGAGCATGGAGAGGAATGAATATATCCTTTTCTAAAGTATATGCATAAAGAAACTGTAAAAACACTTCACTTTGAATAGTCTCATTACTTTTCATATTTTATTCAGTATGAGTAGAGTTCAAACTCAAGGCAACCCTGCTTACTTGAGATACACTACCCAAAGGTTATTAACTTGAAAATACTATGTGATAATGATGATCTTCAATAAAGATATTATTGTAGCATTACTGGAGAACCTGGCATATTTTGGTCCTCGATTTGAATCTAAAAATTTATCATTCACTGCTGTGACAAGGGACACAATGCATGTGTCTATTTCACCTGTTCAAATCTTCACTAATCAAATCAACACAATGCTTGGCAAATAATGACAAATAACCTCCAAAGCATATCGACAACATAGTTGTTGGTGGCAGCATTTCTTAGTATTCAATTTCTTTTAGGTGGGTGAAATATTATGCTGTCCATGGGAAATGCCATAGCCCTAAAGAAATCAGACCATTGCAATTTAATCTAAACTTACCAGCACCAAATATGCAATCAATTGAAAACCAGTCAAGTGAATCGCAAGATTTAGCACCTTTCCAATAGCTGCTCAGTGAGGTGCGATGCGCTATATACATAACCTGGAGCTAATTGGGCTACCTGTGCCAAAAATTTACACCTCCCACAAATAACAATGCATTGTGCAAGTGTGGCTCATGAATAAGGCAAATGACTGGTCAGCCATGACAAATATGCTTTAGAAACAATTTAATCTAGCCAGTTTCACACCTGCTGAAATTACGAACTACATTTGCTCATTAAGGTTACATTGGAAAAAAATATTCAGATTGAATGACATTTTACTTTAACCCAACATTTGTAAAGATATTTATATACATTTTTAAAGGCAACTTTTCAAGATACTCCGATGATTCTGTGGAACAATCCCTTTATGTCCTTCATATTCTTGAGTGATACAAAATTGAATAATCATAATAAATATAATAAACCACAGAGCTGCCAAACAAGTTACTGCATGGTGCACTAAGAGCAAGATATGTACCCAAGATAATTTTAGGTTTATACAGTGCAACACGTATTGATATTCTGAACTAATTATTTCATATAAAAGAAAGAAGTATTGATTTCTAGCTTAAACAATTAGTGCCTGAGCTATAGAAAGAGTATGATCAAATTCTACAGCTGGTCGAGACAGCTGGTGCAGGCTCAGAACTGGTTCAGCTTTTGTTACTGACTGACATAAAAAAGGGAGGACTAGAGCATTCACCCTTCCACACACCACCTGGACATGCAAATTTCAGTCCATGCTGATATGAAATGTATAAGACTGGAAATGAGGGTTTCAAACCAAAATTTGAAGAGGAATATCATTTATTTAAACTTTAAAATACCAATGTCCTATATATCCGGAATTCTAAATGTTCCATATTTTGAAAAGGAAACCAGTTTTCATGCAGTCTGAACATTCAAAGGAGATGTCGGTCAAATGATGAGATGGTAAAATCAAATCAGTATTTTATGATAATGAATTCTTTTAATATGTATCATGACACCTAAATTTTGTTAGTTATTAAACAAAAGATCCAAAAGATTCATTGAAAACAACTGGTACTATTTTAACACAAAAGAATTACATTAGGCATACATTGGGTTTGAGTATTTGAAAACATATCTACAATTGCAGGTCCTTATATTCTGTATGGCAGACTCTTATTTGACCACTTCTGACAACAGGTACAATTAAAGTCTATAGATGCTCATCATGATGAAATTACATCCAACTGTTAAGTTAAATGCCTGAGGAGTAAATTGAGAGCTGATTCATTCTAAAATCATTAGCAAATTGTTCACCATCATTATAACTACACAGGAATTCAAGAATAATGTTTTCTCCATGCAACATCAATTTCACAACTGAAGATTAACAAATTGCATCACGTTTTTTTTAGAAAATTCTCCACAAAGTAGATGTACTAAGTAGTTAATGGTGTTACACAACGCGGTAACACGTTTTTAATTGCCATATTGCATAACAGCATTTCCACTCAAATGAGCATGAGAGAAATGTTATGTCATATACATAGTTATATATTTTAGATAAATGTCATCTGCAAAAATCTTTACACATCTTTTTTCTCTCTAGAATCCACATTTAAAAAAACAATTGATAATACAAATACTGGTAAATTCAGGATATTTAACAGGTCTAACTCTTTATCAGATATTAAAACTTCCCTGAAATCTTTATTTTCAGTGCACTATGCCTGTACTTTTAGCCTATTATTCATTTGCAATCAGTTTCATTAATAAGAAAATCTGTACATCCAACCTAAATACAATAGAAAACAATCAAAATGTGAGATCAAAGGGTTTTGCCACAGTAGCAACTGCACAGGTAATTACCGTTAGACAAACACAGGAACCAATCACCTGGGTAGGAAAAGCCTAATTAACGACTTGATTACCTGACAAACTATCAGTGGTCAAAAAGAAAACACTGAGACCAATTGGTTGAATTTCAAATGACAAAACAACAGCCTTGTTGACTGACTGCAATATGAACTCATTTGATGTGTTAAACACACATAATTCTGATAAGGATTATGTTATTGTACTCTCACTTGTGGACTAATTAACAGCTGAGAATTTGCATTACTTTCACTAGTATAATTAATGGAGGAAAAACATGCCCTATTCTTATTCTTAATTGCAATACATTGTATACTCTTTACTTAAGTTATGTATAATGCATGATTAAAACCACAATGAACTCCCCTCAAAATAATTAATAACATCTGTACAGCACAATAATATTGTATCTAATGGATGAAATGACTTGAAGTATTGGTATCACTTATTGTATATTTGAAGAAAAAGACCCTTCGAACTTGCATGATGCTAATAAACAACTTTTTGAACAACCTTCCCAACACTATATGTCAATACACCTGTTACAAGCACTCTTTGAATCACCCTTGTAAATTACACCCAGAAGTTTGTTATTTACATTTGTTCCAATCATATTTCATTGTTACCTTTTCAAGTACTTTTGTTCAAGGTTAGTATCCCACAGACAATAAAGGCAATAATGAAAGAAGTGTCTTAAGAGGGAAAGGTATCAGATTTGATTGATAGGTCAAGGTACAGTGATCACACCTGTCACAACTGCAAGTGACCACAAGCTGAGGCAAGAGTGATCAGAGTCCAGTCTGTCCTAGACTTGTTAGCAGGTCACAGAGGCCAGTGTGGTGGCCATCTGCTACCCAGGCTGGTTCAACCAATGACTGGTGTCCACACATGGCACACACTTGTCAGCACTTTGGCTCTAACATCAAGACACCTGATACCACCAACAGTGCTGCATCACATTTACATGCAAATCAGATTGATTATGTACATAAGATAAAGCATCTGATAACTGCCAACCTTGGTAATTATTTGCCAGGCAAGCTTTCATTTTCTCAAACAAAGATAAGACAATGAAATTTCAGCTGCAATAGGTTATAATGTGTCATTGAATGAAAGAGACAGTTTAGTTAAAACAATGTACAATGGTAGAGAATTATTTAATAAACTAAAGTATTTCTCACCTCATTTCAAGTGTTGGTGAGTCTATAGGTGACGGAGAATCAAAGAAGCATCCTGAAAAGAATGAAATCCTTATTTATAACAAAAATACATATCTATGATCAAAGTAACACATACATTGAAAATGTAACATAAGAGAATGAAATTTTATAACTGACCAAAATCCTTAATATAAACAACAACTCTGCAAAGATAGAGATAGTCTCTTAATAGAGATGTCTATTCAGGTAATAATAATCTAAATCTGACACCTTATCATGACAGTTCAAGAATTGATTCGAAAATACAAAGACCAGGATGAACTGAACCTTGAAACTGCTGAGGAAAGAACAACTGGTCAGATATGTTATAATCCTTGATAAAATATATCTCCCTGGTCACTGATTTGTAAAGAGGAATGATACCACGGTCTAAAGTAAACAACACAACAGGCAACACATACAAACTTACAAAAGAAATATCAATTTCAAGTGGTCTGATGTGACCCCTTCATTACATGTGTTAGCAGCCGGACTGACAGATCCTGTCCTGGTACCAGACTATATTCTTTTCATGATGTGTATGTCACTAATTATCTATTCAGTTTGGTCTTAATTTTATTACTCCAAATCTCAAACTCCACTAACTGCCAAGAACTTACTACACTTGTAATCCTAATTAATAACAGAAAATAGAAAGGAGATAATTGCAACAAAAGACTCAAATGAATTGATGCCATAATTAGTCTAATGACCAACAACCAAATACAACAGACTCGTAAAATAGAAAACAATGGCTCATCAATGAAATCTTCCTTTCCACAATAGGGGACCAATTTCTTGCTTGGGGATATTCAACTGTTTTAATCTAGCATGTGTGAAATAATGGCAGACATCAAAATCCAGAGACATATGGATTAGTCTACTCAGTTTACAACCAGATAATCCCATTCAAACTCAAGTAAACATAAACAAAACTTAGTAAAACAAAGACTCTTCATTGACATTATACTGTCTGTCCTTTTTGAGACCTGTAGGGCCACCATGGAGACATGGTCAACAGACAGGAAAATAAAAACAATAAAAAGTGTCAGAACTTTTGTAGATGGGACTCCTTAATGTCAATTTTGTCAGTTAATGTTTACTTTTTGGTGCACCACTATAGACATTATGGAGTCTGTGCAGTTACGAAATACAAAACTGCTAAGTCTAAGCAGGTGGCTGTCCTATTTAACTTGGAGAGTGGCTTAGAGACATTAACAACATCTGGAAACTCTTAATCCTCTGGTATACTGGTGTACAAATTTAAATGAAACTATATTCTGTACGTTTCTGGTGTGATTATTTCATTCACTGTTGACACTGTGAAGATATCTAGGCTTCATGTGATCTGAACTGCAGGTGTATTAAAAATGGGTCAGATCTGTAGGAACAGTCTTGAGAGCCATAATTGCAGCAAAACTGAGTGAGAACTTGGGTAAGAGATAAGAGCAAGCTATTATATTAAAACCAGGACAAATCCTCTCTAAATACTCTACATGACCAAAGTGACTGATTTGGGCTTAACATGTTCAATTCCATATCCACACACCCTTTTTTCATCTTTTTAGTGACAAATGTCGTAAGACATGAAATATAATAAAAAAGGAAAATAATACCTGCAAAAATCATATATCTAAAAACCCCAACACTGAAAGAAAAGAAAATACCTGATCGTAACATCTGAGATGTTTAATAAATCATAAATGATGTGCTGCATATGAGAACAACCAGATATTTGAAATGACTAGTTGATCATGTACGTTCAAAGAGTTCCAACACAACCTCAGTCAGGATCACTTTCAGGACATGACATATGACATGAAAGATTATTTTCTTTATGATGCAATCTTAATAAAACATAACCCTAAAGATGCACTTTCCATTTTTCTCTCATGACAAACTGATCTGTAACATATTCATAGAGGAGAACAAATTTGATACCTTTACATTTCATGTTACTGTATCTATCATCATAATCATATTTGTTTGTATGTATATTCTTAAAAAATATCACTGTGATATATTAATATTTTTATATATCTGTTATGATATATAACATTATACACATTTACTTAGTTAAAAATAATAATTAACATAGATAATCAAGTCAATCCATGGAAGCTTTTAATACCTGATTCAGTTGATGACATTCGCTCTGGTGTCACCTTAGTTGACCCTGTTGGGGTGTCAATGCTGGACAGTGACAGTCTTCTCTTTGGGGTCCCCCTGGAGATTTAATATCATGCAATTAATTGAAACATATACAATCATATATATACACGATATAGGTCACTACACCCATTCATTAATATTGATATGTGAAGGTTTCTTCACTATTCTGTTATGTTGTCTGCTCTCATTTATTTGACAGCAAATGTAACATATTCTTTAAATGTATCCAACTATTTTTCAAGAAATAAATATTTAAAACGCTTTTCAATTTCACACTTATTCATAATTGCTGAAATTAGAAAATAAATGCATTTGATTACATCTTAGACTTGTTATGAATTGCTTAGCCGTTTCCACCAATGGTAGACAACTCTGGAGAAACAAGTTATGACACGAACATGCAAAAGTGGGAATAAAGAAACGTACCTTCCAGTTGATAATTCACTTAAATTCATAGCTAGAGTGCTCATGGGCGAACCCACGGTAGTTTCTTTTCCAATATTCATAGTGTTGGTTGTTGCTAGAGTCCTCAAAGGAAGAAAAGGTCTGGATATACGTTCCGATTTCACAAAACTGGGTCTTGTCTGTTTCAGTTCTCTATCACACATCGTTCACAAGTTCCGTTTCTGTTCATGAGCTATATGTCGATCAGTCCGATTTCACAAGGTGTCTCTAGAATAACTGCATTTAAATCCAGGTACCTTGTCCACTTGATGATCCCTTCCGACTGTGTAGGATTTGTATTATAACAACAATTTAGATGGGTGGTTGTAAAAACAATGGACGTCACAGCTAAATCCCTCGCTTGGACACAGACACGATTGCAGCCTACTGTTGGTATATTGCAGGGTGGCTGATTGACGAATGGGAGCGGTTCTTGTCTCCTTCAGGGTGTTGTCTTAGTTCCAGGCCATATCTGAGTTCCCTTATAACTATCTACAAACTAAACCAGAAAATAATATAAGGTCACCTGGGATATGCCCAGGCAAAGCTACTGCCGCCTGCAAGTTTGAACGCTCAGCAATTACAGCCAATCAGAAGCAAGCATGTAGTGTTGCTGCAGACGCTTTCTTTGTAAAATTCGGTATCTAAGAGAATATTTTTCTTTTCCACAGGATACACAACACTTTTTTCGATATTTGGAACCCAAAATATATCCCTGATACAAATAATCTCAACTAGAAAAAGTTTGTAAACAACACAAAACTTAGTTTATTTGTACTATATTCGCACAAGCATATGATTACTAAAAGAAGCAGCCAGCCTTCTGTTGGTATATCATAAACGCTGGGATCTGAGTAGAGCTGGTTTATTAAATAATTGACGATTAAGCAACAAGATGTATATAGGAAGCAAAACAACTGCCATGTATGTAATGTGAAAACGACCAAAACAGTGGGTAACTTTGATCTTGGAAATCGATTTTAATATCGTCCAGTATAAGATTTACCCCCATAATATTAATCATTTCCAAAAGTTCTGAATGTAACAGAAATGTATACAAAGTCTAACAATTAAACCAGTTTGTTTCCTGTTGACACGATTTGACAACAATACGCGTTTGTATATGTTTTCAAACTGGTTAAACACCATGTAAAAAGGTTCTGCAGCTGTGTATTTTCATGTGTTAATACGTTAATAAAGTTAATATAACGTTGAATAACAAATGTAATATTTAGTTGGTGATATTCTACGCTACTGAATATTTTGACAAACTATGGAATATTGAAACACTTGTTTTGAAACTAAAAAATGGTATGATTTTTTATGGACAGTCACTTCACTGTATTTTTTCACTCACTTCACTGTATTTGTTCACTGTATTTTTTCGTTTTTGTAAGTGAATGCATGTGTAAGGTAATTTTATGCTAAAACAACAGTTACATGTGCATAGTAGCATGAATTAATTTGTCTGTCCTGGTCGACAGAAGCCTGTTTACATACGCATGTGTTAAGTAGTTGTTTCTATAATTAGAAATACTATCTAAACAACTACTGCGCAAGCGCGACGGCTTGGCGCGAAATAGAACACTACACTTTTGGAGGCTCAGTTGTCAACATCTCATCTGCTCGATTTAATTTTTTCGATCGACTAATTAAGGATATGTCTGATATTCATACCTTGCGCACAAGAAGGTCTCGAACATTAAGAGATGACAGGTGAGTTTTCTTATCCTATTTCCTTGGAAATGCATGCGTATGACATAGTTTCGAAATATTTTTTGCCGACTGTCAGTCTGAAATTCAGCGGGAAACCACGACCTTTGTTCCATCAACTTGACACTGTGCAGTACATATACTTTTCGAATGATTAGTCGATTTCTGTTAAAATTCGAGATTTCCTTAACATTTATAGACAATTTCCTATTCAACCAAAAATGTTGCATTGATAAAGTCTATCTTTTTTTCGCCTGTTCGTTCCCCAGCATTCCAACCTTCAGAATATGGCCTGATAGATTTGTTTGATTCCAATTTCATAGCAAGTGATCGTTGTCTTTCCTTTTTGAATTCTTTTCATGTACACGTTGAGCGATTATACCAAACATGCTAAGTCAAAATGGCCCTTTACTTGTCGCTTCCAAAAGCTATTTTCCATTCTGTATGATGTCAACCAGAACTCGGTCGATTTCATTTTGAAAATCAATTTATTGTCATTCTTCACTCCCAACACACATGGGAATTCTTTTTTGCTGACAGTGAACGTAAATTGAAGAATTAAAAATGTTTGATTTTAGCATTAACACAAGTCAGTATTTTCTTTATCAACGTTGGTTGTCACGAGTTAACAACTAAAGACATTCAGAGATTCCTAGTCCAGCATATAACTAGACGACTTTGCACTATACCAAGGTGTGCCTTGGCTGGAATAGGACTTTATTCATTATGAACTAAGAGATTCCCGGTGTTTCTACATTTACACTATAATGTGTGCTATTTAAATTTTAGCCTTAGGAATGTGTGGATGCCACAGTAGATAATATTTTAGCAATATTTTAATATATACTATGTAAACTTATCAGTGGTATCCTCATGGTCATTATTGCAGTCAGTTTTACTTCACTATAGTATGTCACAGTATGTGAAATTTACTTCTTCACAATTCTCATTGTCCTTGAGTTCTGGGTTTGTGGGTGCTTGAGAATGTTTGTTTTCTTAATTATCACTTAAGCAATTGTAAAATATGTCATTAAACTCATTAAAGACAACTTTATCTTAAATACAAGCCATCATCTGAGTACATACTGGTACAATGTCTGTGATGCAACCAGCCTTGTAATAGTGAGAGTAAACACTACCGTCCGAAAACAAACAATCCAAAGCTATTCAGATATTATGCGATTATGCAAGGATGTATCAGGAACTAGACTGAGAAAAATTTGTTTAGTCCAAAATAAAGAAGTTTTTGAAAGAGTATTATAATTCTTGCTTTCAGTTATTCTAACATTGCAATAATGTCAAACTAAGTCATGTTTGCGAAGATGCCGCAAAGATAATTATTAAACATTACCTTTAGATTTATGATAGCTGAAAAGAATTGATGTTAGCTGCAGACATGGTACAGAATATTGGCCGTGGAGAATCCCTATTGTGTCTTTGATAAAACTGTATAGTATATGAGAATGCAATACTTATTTTGTTACTCTGTTTTGTTAGGTTATGGTGCTTGATGATGTAATGCATATTTCATTTAGCATGTTTTGTCATTGCCTTTCCAGAAGCAGCGAGTGTTCAAGCAAGTACAAAGAAGATGCTTTGGGTGCCTTAAGAAGTCCCATACGATCAAATGATGACTCAAGTAGAAAACATTTTAGAAGAGATAGGTGTGTAGTTCATGTGATAAGTAATTGACATGTAAACCTTTGTATCAGGAACTTTTTATACTCTTTTCTAGCTAAGAATATTCACACGTTAACACATTTTTGTGTGTGAATTGTTAATATCTAAGAAAGATAAGTTTTAAACACAACTTGGGCAGACTTAAACTAAATTATCTGTAGTTGAGTAAGTAAGTTCTGGGAAACATATTTTTAAGATGCTGTTTTCAAACATACCTTTTTGCTTTAATGTTTGAATAAATGTTATTTTCTCCAGACATGGACGGATCCAGAGACGACAGAAAATGAGTTCTCCATACAAGAGAGAAATGCCACTGAATTCCATTGAACACTTTCCACCACTGGGATCAGCTCTGTATGTTATACTTCTTTATTTCCAGACCAACGGTTTAATGTACATGGGGTTCACATTTCAAGACATGTTTAACAATTCTGATAAGGACAGCTACAAGCATAGATGACCCAAGTTGTTGCTCAATGAATAGCACCCTTAGAATTCCTTGTAAGATGACTAATAAGTGGTAATTTCTGTGGATGGATTATTCAGTTCCTTACTCACTCACTCCTGTAAGTTGCTGACTTACAACACAGGAACTATTTTTCAGCATCTCTGTCTCTGCATATTTAACATGTTTATTGTTGATGATGTAACAATATCACTCCTTTTTGTATTTCAGAACTCCTGATCTGTCTTTCAAACTGACAAATGAACATCGAGCATCTCGTGGATGGTGTGAGCAGGTGGATGAATTTGAAACTAGAACACAAGTCGAGAGAGAAAACCTTCAACGGTATGTCAGATGAAATGGTGACTGATTTGATAGCCATGCTTGTTTCATTTCATCACTGATTTACATTTTGCTTTGTCTTCTAAACTAAACTGTCTACAACTCTAACCGCAAGGCCAACACCAGAATTCTGTAAGGTACAGATGCTGAGCTGGAAACTTAATAATGATATCAATATCCTCAGAAAACTATGCTTATAGCCAAGTTCAACTAGTTTGGGGCACAGACTTTTCAATATTAGTAGTCTTTACTCTATTTTTTAAGGTAATAAATACCACAAAATAGATTTGATATTATTGTAACCAGGGCTCCAGATAAGGGCCGTATCGGTATGTACGGATAAAAAATATGCACGATATGGTAGGAAATAATTTAGAAAACGTAGCAAATACGCACCACAGCAATGGTGTACGGTCTTAGAATCATTTACAAACGTATTTATCTGAAAAAGTCTTGTTTTATTGTTCATTGACCTGTTTACACAAGAATCAATGTTGTGGTGCATACATGAAACGAAACACAAGATTACTGATACTCCATTAATTTCCATTCAGTACACTACATGTACACTTAAGGTTTTCCAGTAGTCATATATTGAACAAATAAGGAGTACGTACTCCTGATGTTGAAAAATTATCTGGAGCCCTGTGTAACTTTTAAAGGCTGTAACGATTGACTCGCAATTCTGTGAATCGAACCGTAGCCCATCATGAATTCAATTCATTATTCGTGGTCACCAGAACCAAATATTTACGATTATTTTAAGGGAGCATGTTTTACTTGAACCCTTTGTACTTTGGGAAAGTGAGATATGCAAGGATTGAATATGTACTGGCATTGCAGTAGCGCAAGTCATGTTAGTTTGCCATGGCCGCACATGGTACTGTCGACTTTAACTATTACATACCAAATTTGAGTGTCATGAGATCACTGGTTATTGCTGTGACAAATCAAAACTGTTAACATGGGCGTTCCATATTGTACATCAATCACTTAAGTACCATATTGTATTCGTGAATAATTATTTGTATTCGTTACCCAATATTCATGATACGTATCATATTCGCCACATAGTGTATTTGTTGCAGCCCTAGTAACTTTCCAACATTGTTTATTTGTGTCGAGGCATCAATATTAAGCTCATAATAACTAGACTGAATTCTACATGTGTCATTACGTGATAGGAGCGACATCGACTTGGCTGCTTCATGGCATTCTGGGTTGGGAAATTGCTCTTGTGTGGTCAGGACTAGAGCTGTATTGGCTAGGTCTATTGTCAGTGAAGTGTTCGAGCCACATCACCTTGCTTATGGATGTTTGATTTGTTGATGATTGTTGTCCTTTATATATGCAAATTATAATTGGTTTCTATTTTCCACAGCTTCAGACGAAAACTGGACATGAATGCTGATAAAGATAAGAAGCGGTAAGATTGTTTCCAAACAATGTTGTAGAGTCTTTATAATATATTGACAGTATGTAAATGGTTCAAACTGAATATTTAAAACATTGTTTGCTTAAATATAATTAAAATGTAGGTAGCTCAAAATTGTAATCATAATGACATTGAAATTATGAGTTTGAAATTCGTAATTTTATTTCTGCTACAATATCTACATTCTCACTACCTTTGCACAAGCATCTATTTAGATGATGTTCTGATTCTTCGGATGCAATGTTATGTCATGACCTTTAATGGAATTTCTTTAGATCTATATGTGTGTGTAAGCAGCAAGCCCAAAGACCTTGGGTTTTGTTTTGTTGGTTTTTAATTTTGAGATTTTATGAGTTTAAGACTGTTACTGCTTATAATTTCAAAAATATAAATAAAAAACCTATTGCAAATTTGAATATTGTTCTACAAATTGCTCAGAGCTTTTGATGCATAATTTTTAAGATAATGTCAACGACTCTTTTGCTTTCAGATTTGAAGTTGAAGATGATGAGGTTGTGCTTGCTCGCAGACAAAAGACACTTGACTATGGCAAAAATACCATTGGATATGACCGGTACATCCAAACCATTCCAAGGTAGATCTGCAAATAGTATTCTCAAGCCTTTCTTTTCTCCCATTTTTGATTTATATTAAAATGGAAGTAAGGTCTCCTTTTCAGAGTGGTGTAACGGCATCCCCATTGTCTAGCTCTACTCATTTGACTGATAAGAGCTGTTAGTGCATGCTTTGTGAATTGGCTACTATCGACAGTATGGACAAATAGCTGACCTCAACATCGAATGTTCTTGTGAAGTTACCTGAGGTTTTGTGAGCATTGCATTGTGTATAATATTCTGCTAAATTCAGAGGTTAGATTTGCAAGATGCGAAAACCCATTGCTATATTTCTGTATTTATTGCTCTCAGAACCAGCGGCAGTAGGGTTGCCTAGTGTTTAAAGCGTTCGTTCTTCATGTCGAAGATCCGGGTTCGATTCCCCACATTGGTATAATGTGTGAAGCCCATTTCTGGTGTTCCCTGACGTGATATTGCTAGAAGCAGCCTTAAACTTATCTAACTCACTCACTTCTCTAAGAACACTACAATAGTTATTTCACATCACAATTCTGAATTCTTGTTTGCTCTAATGCTGAGTTTGTATTCTTTAGGGCCAAGAGACAGAAGTGCCACCCAAAGACCCCAAACAAATACTGGAAGGTGAGCCGCCGATCCTGGGACACCCAGGTGAAGTCATGGAGGAAGAAGCTCCACATATGGGATCCACCCTCCGCAGGGGGCAAACATAACACCAGGTACGCACAGAAGTAGATCAGAAACTAGTGAAGATCCAAGTTAGAATCGGCCTTCAGCAACCCATACTTGTTGAAAGGGCAGAGCAGAGCCGCAATAACTCAGTGCGCCGTGTGGCAGCAAGAGTTGTACGCTCCCCAGGGAGCTGAGATTGATAATATGATGTGCCGTTGAGATTGACATCCAATGATCAGGGGAAATACCAGCGCCTTGAGCATGCACTAGTGCGCGGATATGTGCGCTATATAGATATCAAATAATAACAGGATGGGTTGGTCAGGTTTGTTGACTTTGTTAATGTATGTCATTGTGTCCCAGTTGCGAAGATTGATGCTCTTGATGTCAATCACTATATTGTATGGTCCAGGCTTGATTATTTAGAGACCACCGTCAAATTACTGGAAAATTGCTCATTCCGGCATTGAACAACAAACAAGTTGATTAGACGCCAGCTGCTAGGGACTGGGCTTTGTATTGTTCTGTTGCTTAGTAAATCTGTATTATGATCCAAAGAGAGACCTGTATTGACTAATGTTCATTCTTCACTTGTGAAATGTGTGAAGCCCATTTCAGGTGTCCCCCGCCGTGATATTGCTGAAATATTGCTAAAAGCGGTGTAAAACTAAACTCACTCACTCTTCACTTGTGAGTCTCCAGCCATGATAATTATAAGTTCTATGTGAGAATAATAGTAGAATGTAGAATGACATAGAAGGAAATCTGTTGGAGGATGCTTTAGATATAAAGACTACCCTGCTGTTAATTTTTAGTAACTGATTTTGGCTGTGTTCAAATCCTTAAAATACATTTTACCAAAGCTTCATTGACCACTGTTTTCTAAGGACCAGTCATGGGTTGCTTATTTTTCTCATTGATTCAATCTTGTATCGAATGTGTCTCTTTACCTCACTGTAGTTGGTTCCACTGGAGCAAGACCGACAGCTCATATCTCAGGAATTGTATGGCTAAATTAAGTATCATGTCAAAAAGTCTCATAAGCCTTTGTATTGTTTCAGCACTGATGCAGCTTTTACAGATTGTTCCTCGGAAGGATCTCTTGAAGCATCCATGGAGCGTGATCTCAACTTGGACTCGGACAACTATTCTGACTCAGAATCAACGTCTTCAGTTTCCTCGACCAAGCGATCCAAACCTTCTGTCTCCCCAGTATTCATGGTGCCAAACTCTATCATCCCTCACACCAAGACCGATATCCCCAGCAGTATCAAGCAGAGCTCACCCAAAAAGTCTGAAAACACAGACAAAGAACTGTTGAAGAAATTTTCCATAGACGATTTTGAAATGGATAATCCTGAAGAAATTGACAACTGGGAGTGAAGGCATCTTTTATGCCTCATCAATGCTCTCATTACAATTATTCCATCTCATTAGATTGTTATGCATTGTTCAAAATGTTTGTCTTTTTCTGTCTTTTTCCCCCCGTATCTCTTTATGTCAGACCTCAGGAACACTTGAATGCATGATAAATAACAACTTGTATTTGTCCTACCCAAACCACTAGTGGACAGTTGTTTTTACTGGCAGTAATACAAGTATCAGTATTGATATAACCACTGGATAATGGAAACTTGATAAAACAATCTAGGATGATGAAATTTTTACCAACAATGTGAAAAGTAAACATAAAATAATACTGAGGGCTTCAAAGTCTTGTGTAAGTGGTGCCCCAACTTAAAGGTGGGTCCTTGAGATTTGAATCTTCGGATCTCTCCTTTATTTTCTCATTCCCCGTCCCCCCTTATATTTTGTCATTGTCATTAACAGTATGACCTTTGACCTTCAAGACATCTTGCTAGGACTATGTACATGTGAAACTGCTTGAAAAAATCGATCAAACTGGTACAGGCTTACAAATATGGCAATACTTTATTTGTCATCCTACCGTATTTTTGACTTTTTTGGTTTTGTAAATCCTGTCATGGCTATCTCCACATTTTATTACGGTACATTACAAAAAATGACAATGGCTCATGATTAGTTGCATAATAATCACTGTGGTACCAAGTTAGTGTCATTTGTTGATGCTGCTCATTGATTGGTTTCATCATGCTTCAATAGGATAATGGTTCGGCTAATTATGATCCTTGTTCACTGAAGTAATGACTGTCAACTACCTGCCCCGTGTTGGGCTGTCCTACCACATTAACACGTGTAGCCAAGAGACACCAGGGGGTTCAGTTCCCCATGTGGGTACAATATGTTTAGACCATTTCTGATGTGCCCTGTTGCGATGTTCCTGGATTATTGCTAAAAATGGGTATGCCATATTCACTCACTCGCTCGCCCGCTATCACAATAAACTGACAAGTCGTCAAATGGCTGAAATGTTGTGTCCAACCTGGTGCATGTATAATCGGAACTACATGTATGACAATGTTTACATTGCCTGGAACTGAAAGTACACTGCAACATCTATTCTCATTTACAATTTTTCTACCCAGCTTCATCACCAAAAGTGAAATGTTATGTTAAACATTGTCTTTTTGTACAGGTTACAAAGAAATCAATTTAGAAGCAATAATTGACATATTTGGAATATGGCTGTGTCGCAGTGAGCCTGACTAAAGTTGTACATACAGCATCTGTAGGTGTTTGACAGTGCATTTCACTGTATGATGAGCCGTCTTCACGTATCAAAATTGGTTGTTGACACCTCTCAATAAAAGTAATGATTGATATTTTTAGAGAAAAATACACAATTTAAAAAAAAAAAAAATCATCAAGTTTGACAATATTTAGCAGTTCATTTGGAATACTGGAACCTGTTGAGATAGTGATAAAAGTGAACTTGTGTGCTAAATTTGTATTACTGAATTCGTGTAATTACTATTTACCTGTGAAGGAAATATGTGTGGTGGATTTGATGCAGCTCTTTTATGTATAGAAATCCATGTACTTGTTTATTTATATTGACAGTTAAAGATTGTTGTAGCCACTCTGTGCAGGAAAACGTTTGTATGGAGCCCCGCTGAAAATAAAGATTTTAATGTGAATAAGTTGATTCATCTTGTCCCTTATCCTTCATCTGTATGCCTGTCAAATCAACTGGAATAAACAGGTGTGACTGCTCAAATTTGTATTGAGTCTGAAGGTAATCACCAACAACCAACTGTTGAACCAGCGCCTTTTTCGGTGAAAGCTACTAGATTTATAGACATATGTTATATTTGGGGTTACACTTTCCCTGTAAAGTATAGATTCTAATACTTTTATAAGGTTGAGTCCCACCCGGGATTCAAACCCATTCTCAGAGTCTGGCACCTAATTGCCAGCAATCTAACTCACTCAACCACCGCCGTTTACAAAGGGACTTGGCCAAATAAAAATATTAGAATCTGTACTTTGAGAAAGTGTAATCCCAAATAGAACATGTTACATTTTACCACCTCAATCTCGTGTATTCACGATATGATATTGTCGATGACAGTGTAGTCTTTGAAGCTCCGTTTACCAGGAAGGGGTGTAGAGCACAATCTTGTTTTAAGTTACTGTTAATCACACAACTGGTTGTTATTATCTTGCTGTCCAAACCTCATTTGCAGATGGGAAACTCTTTTTCATTTGTTTGCTGGCGTCAACAATGCTGATCACATTCTTTAGTCGTCTTGCTATTAATATATTCAGCTGGATAGTAGTGTCACACAAAGTCCATTATGAAAGTCAATGGGTCCCATTCATATCCATAATGTTATGATAACAGGGTTCTGTAGAAGAAAGGCCCCCAGTATCGCATGCTACAGATAGGGCAGATCAGGTGATCTTGCCAGGCACCTTGACTGCAGCTGTGGTGTCAATAGCTGTGCTTGTTTTAGATCACAGGTTTGTCTGGTCCTGTTGTTATGACAACACCATTAACTTGAGAGTTGATGGACATGGCTTCAAAGGTTAAATTTAGCTCTGGCATGAAAAATGAATCGGCTCTTTTTTAACATGCATGGGGTCCTAGGAGTCCTCACTTTGAGACAGGATAGGAGTAATCAGTGTCCTTTGAATCCCAGCAGCGAGTTAAGCTCTTGGTACTGGGGAACTATGCTGTCTTTACATAGACAGGAAAGAGGTACACAGTAACTTGTCTCCCCTAGAATCTCCACAGGTTCATATCAAAGCCTTGTCTGCACCCTAGCAAACTATTCTATGATAAAATGGACACACAGGCAAAAACAGGTGTGTAGTTCCATTGAAACAGGTTAGAATTACTCTTCAGCAACCCATAGTTGTTGTAAGAGGTGACTAACGTGATCGGGTGGTCAGGCTTGCTGACTGGACATATGTCACTGTATCCCAATTGTGTAGATCAATGCTATACTGTTGATCACTGGATTGTCCAGTCCAGACTTAATTATTTACAGCCTACTGCCATATAGCTGGAATATTGCTGAGTGCGGCATTAAGCAAACACAAAATTAAAAAAAAACAAGACAGTCTCGCAGATTTTCTTTAATCACAGAAAAAAAAAATCTGTTTACAAATTGTTTACAAATGATTATTGTGCTTGGGTTGGAGGTGATCTGTGAATTTATTGATGTGTAGGATAAACTGGATGTTAGTATTGCACAACTCTGTCTCAGGTAGGGTTATACGGTCAATACAAAAGTATAACAACGTCGCAGATCCCCAGTGGCTTCAGGCAGAGAATCAAAGGCTAGTTTGACAAGAACCATCTATTACTTATATAAAACAATTGAACCAATATAAAACATTGAAATTACTTTAAATTTTGGTGAAAACCTATTTGATACAATGTAATATCACGCATAACGTTCTGTATTAATGATTTTCTCATCAGAACCATATTTTCAAATTGACCAGGCTCTCTTTCTCAACAGGCCAAAATAACTTGAAAGCAAATTTAGCAAGAAGTAACTCTTCTATTAATATTTTGACTTTCACAGAACTGACATGAATCCTAATTGTTTATCCAACAAAACCAAATATTGTTGAAAAGGAATCCTTTAATGCCCAGAGACAAAAAGATGGATTTTTAACTTTAAATGGCCTTGTCCTTTGCCATTTCAATCATTCAAAATGTTACCAATTTTCCAATTACAATATACCACTGCTGAATATGCTTTTGTTTATCACATGTTCATATATATTTAATCTCAGAAATTACATCGTTAATTCTTCATCTACATCAATCAATTCATTATTTCACATGATTTTTTGTAAACAGTTAATAATATCACACTTAAACACGTACCCTCGTGTATATTTACATGTACCAACAATTAATGGGTGCTTATGATAACAGCACTTGATATTTGTAACCACTGGATAATCTGAGAAAAACCACTGGAAAATATAATGCTTTCCTAAACACTAACGTATACTAACTGGCCAATAATAGACTCTACAGGCTTTGTTTAAACTCTCAAAACAAAACTAACATTGGTAACATAGAATACAAATGTACATCATACAAACTGCAATAAACGAGATAACAGGATTCTGATAGGGTTAACTGTAAACTACAAGTATATAGGGAAAATTGAAATAGACCAGCCTTTTGACGGTATCAGTTGCACAGGGTACACTATTTTCCAAATTGCCCATTGAGGAAATCATTAATCTAAGTCTAAGTTAATACAAAAAATTTCCTTGGTAATTAATTTGGTTTAATAGTGCCTCCGAGTCTTCATGACAATCAGCAGTGTAATATGATGTCTATGCAAGACAAAATACTTTCCTTGATCTACAGAGCAAAAATTCAAGGTTAAATTGGATTTCTAAAAAATAAATTATCTGTTAACCAAAATGCTGTAAAAACATTATGTGTTCTCAGGCTTCATGAAGAGAAATATTTTGCTTTTCCAGATGTTACTTTTTTCTCCGAAAAAATGTGATTTGTCTTACACACAAATTTTATTTATGTTTTGTGGTGCCACAATGCTGAGACTGCTCTATGCTTTTGGATTCTGGTAATAACAAGACTTACCTCCCCTCATTGTAGGAGTTGGTATTTTCCGGATATAATAAATCACATACTTACTGTCCTATGAAAAAGAGTTAAACTTCCCTGTCAACTGACTTTATGTGGCTTAGAGGGAATGCCAAATCACGAATATATTTAGAGTTATGTCCCTTGATAATGTCGTGATGACAAATTGTACTCAGATAATGGAATCCAGTAGCACAAACTTCCCTGTCAAGTTAGGTTTATCTGGCATAAAATGAAAAGCCAAAAGAAGAATCTATTAGAGGTGAAAATAATAACAGCTACTCTGATCACTGGCATTTGAAATGGCATCAACAGACTGGCATGATGGGGTTGCTCTAGCAGGAACTAAAATATAACATAAATAGTTTGTAAGTAGGGGTCTGAACAAACTATAGACTGAACTACTGGGCAAAACTTAGTAATAATAAAAGAAGTGAATATAAAACATATCAAAACACTGATTCATAAACATTCTTGTATACAATACAAAAGAAGTACAAGATTATTTGAAATAAAGGATAGAGTAGAAAATGTATGTGGAAAATGATGTACAAAATATTTGTTCAATAGAATACAAAAGCAAAACAGGAAAGTCCTCTTCAACACAACCTACTTTCTAAATGCTGATGTACAGTCTTATAAACAAATCCCTGAATGTGAGGCTCACAAAGACGTGTCTTCACACTGAGTTAATACATCTTCGTACCATAGTAAACACCCATGTTCTTTTATCAAATCAACCTGTATATGGAACCTGCATTTGGAGAATAGGGATTGTAAGTGTAATCTCTCTATTCAGTTAAATATAACATCCTATTTTGAGTTTTCCTAAAGAGTCATTTATCATAATTGAGTCATAGTAATGGTGATGTTTTTTGTAATCAAAATCCCCCAATTACCATGAATTCCGTAAATAATGAGATATTTATTTCATATCAATCATTTCCTGAAAACAATAATTTAGAGCCAAGTACATTCATATTTGACAAAAAATAGCTATGCAAGGTAATTTCTTAAATAAATATAATAAATATATTTGTAATGATTTTTAGAAGTAAACATTCTCCATAAGGTTTTCAAAAGAATATTGATAACTACTTCATGAAAAAAGAAATATATTCAAAATTATTTCTTGCATTTATAATTTTCTGAACAGCTATATTAGACCTAATTTTCATATCTCACACATAATGCTTTATTATCTAAAAAGCTTTAGAACATAATACAGGAAATTTTCAGAAAGCTGAAAACAATTAATAAAAAATCTGTTAGATGGACACCAACAACAAATAGTCATTCACTCTTTGACATTTCTAACAATAACTTTTGTACACTATTTACATGGTGTGTATCCCTGAACGTTTTAATACGCGAATAACCAACAAAATGTAACATGATCAGACACAGATAATACATTAGAATATGTGAAATGAGAACAAACAATGTTCTACATCCAGTACCACATAAGACACTGAGAAGTTAATGCCATATACAACAGATAAACACATTTCAAATTATGCTGAGACCACAAAAATCTAAAAATGATGAGTCATAATTTTCAACAATATTAGTGATAAAGAAGCACTATTACATCAAGTAACTGTCGTAAATACTTTATGTTGTGTTAACATCTTGAATAATATCTCCTTTAAGCATTCCTTAAAATCTTTTTGACTAGAAATCGCTCAGTGAATACTATCTTGATATAGGAAATTCAACTATGATTTCCTCCTCAAACATTCAAATACATTCTAAGTTGCTCAGGATGTTTACAATTCTAAAATGCTGTCTCAAATCAAATATGATTTATATTTCCCTAATTCATTACGTCAGACAAGGCACATGAAACGGACGAAGATATGAAAGACAAGATCCGAATTCTCAAAAATTGGAGTTCAACCAGTAAAAGACAAACATGTGCCACCTTCCTTACAACTTATATTGTGAGTTATCTTACGGTCCATTAAAGCAGCTTACATCTGAAAAACTCGCAATATATTCACTTTTTCAAAGCATGTTTCATGTTTTTGACATTCCACTCTACAGAGGCACTTGTAAGACTGAGGCTGGTTGTCAGACGATCAGATGAGTATTCAATTAGAAAATGTAAATATATTAACTATACATTATATCTGAGGTCACAAACTCAACCTATCTCTGCCAGAATATCAGCGTTTTATATATTAGTACCTGTTTTATCAATATGTTTTATTTTTATAGAATGTTAGCTGACTGGATATTTTAACAAACATAATTTGATCCAAACAACACTGGCAATAGAATAATTGTGTCTTACCCAAAAGTGTGTTGTGGGTCGAAAAATAATTCTGGATCTAACACAGTAGACCTTGGACCTTCACATATGTACTCATAGAAACCATTAAGGAACACATGTAAGTACAAGTGTTCCTTTATTTATTTCCAGAATTTCACTCTCAGTGCAATACATACCATGTGAAGAAAACCTGGAAAAGAATCAAGGAACACTTGTACTTTCATGTGTTCCCTGATTCATTTCCTTGAGTATATTTAAGATTCCATGCATTACAGTGTGTGATATAGACACCTACCAACTCGCCCTTTGCTAGCAATATTTTTTTTTAAGAACACCTGTTTCATAGATGGTAAAAATAAAAATGTCCTCTGGTTTCTGTAGATCAATACTACATCAAAATCTCAAAGTCAAATTAACATCTGTAACATATGGAGGTTGTAAGATGTGAGTTACCTCCCTTCATACTATTTCACTCATGACTAACAACATGCATTTCATTGCTACTTTAGGATTAACAAAATTCTGGAAAAATTAGCAGTCGCATATATCTAAGGTATTGAAATTTGAACCAGGGCCTCGATTTTCGAAGCTCTCTTAGTGCTAAGATAGTCATAAGTTAATGCATGGCACTTACGGCTATCTTAGCGCTAAGAGAGCTTTGAAAATCTGGGCCCTGGCTAGTAATGTTTAAAGTCAGCTGAACACCTAACCTGCAATAATCTTCAGACTATTTCACACACTGTTGCAAAAACTACTCCTCTCCCTAACCTACTGGACATTACTGATCATTACTGGGCTTTACCTCCAGAAGTGGTCTGTCTCACAGTCCCTGAACCACATTATTTTATTATTTTCACTACTGCCTACTCTCCCTGCATACTAAAGCCCTAAATGAAGCAAGTCTAGATTTCCCCAGGTTCAGGAATCTCCCAACTCACTGGGGCTCCTTTTCATTTTAAATGGGTTTATTTGTTACTATCAAAATTATATATATGCAGGGGCTAAGTATTAGTTTACTCCAGATGGTGTACACTGAGAGGTTCAACCAGAGACCATATAATATAATATGGTCTCTGGTTCAACACAGTAACATAGTAACAATGAGTTCACAGTTTCACTAAGTGATACCCCTCCTGACCAAGGAGGTTTGTGTTTGTGACCTCAGAAGTATATCAGATCTTGCCTTGAGTAAGTCTCTTGCAGACCACCTGACCAAGGCCTTAAAGAAAACTGTGGATATGTGAAATGAAAATCAACGCCAAAATGTCACGAGCCAAACCCAATTACACTTTACTCCTTTATAACAATCCCTTACAACATACATGTGCTGTCATGACCTTTGCTTACTGACAGTTACTGGACTACATGAATCTTGACCAGACTTAGGTTCAGAACTTGTACCGTAAGTCACAGACGGCCTAAACTTTGAGTGAGTATAGTTTTCTCTGCTTTTGATAATTCAATGGGCTTCAACCATGTAGCCATGAGAGGAATTGACCTCAGGTGGAAGAGCAAATGGTTAACAACTAGCCTACGAGTTGTTAGTGAGGGGTAAATGCCACAGTCTTTAAGGCCTGTCATGATATAGTGAAGCCCTGAGAGGCTAGTTTGACCTCTATATGGACTACATTCAGTTGATCAAGTGTAATTAGCAAAAGCCAACAGACTTCAGCTACTTCAGAAGATTAAAGGCAAACAACTGTAAAAGTAATCTGATTAACTGTTAGAAATTGAATAATGTTAGTATTCATTAGGGATGTCACAATACATACTTCTCCTTACATTATAACTTCATGCCATACAGTGCTTACACTTTTAACCCAGCCTAGATATACTCTATAATAAAATTGATAATAATAGTCAATTTTATGGCACTTTTTCCATGCCAGATATCATGCTCAAATCATATCCTTATTACCCCAGTCAGTAGATCAGCGGGATCTCAGTTTTCATTCTCAACTCCCTAGGGAGTACACAATCCAAGCTGCCTGCATACATATCTAGGGTAACCGATAACAACCTCATCTTGCAATTCCAACTCGGCATCTTCTGAATCAGTGTAGAAAAGAACTATTTGACATTGTATCACAGACTGTTTCGTAGATGGTAATATCATGACATCCCTAGCTTTTCATTACAAGAAGCATTTCTCATACCTAAGAAATTAATTCTCAGTAGTTGAATCATTCAGGTGAGAAAACAAATTGCGGGGACAGTTCTCACCTGATCTGGTTCACGCCTGTCAGATCTCAGTTCCTCATGACAGAGATTCCCTGTTTTCACACTGAGGTAAGCGGATCTCAAAATAAGATCTCACATAATACACACATCTTGTTATCCTGAGACGCAAATCAACTGCTTGTCACTTGTTTCATAGAGAAAAGATGTCACTGAAACATCTCGACATCTCACTTTTGTGCACATCTTGTGACATGTCTCACTGTTCCTTGTATATCTCTTGCTAACTAATCTCCAATACACAATAGAATATGAACTATCAAAACTAACCCATGAGATGAACAATCTCTAAATGTCTCACCTAATCTATACAATGAGATGACGAATTCTCACATACACGATAAACAGCATGGTACTTTCAAACAACTTTAACAACAAAAATAAACAAAAACGTGGCAAAAACAGCACATTCATAATTGTCTCCATAGCATAAATGATTTGTGACAGATGATTATGACTTTGAGGCACTGAATTTCTGCGTATCCTTGTAAATGTTTTGATATAGTTGGGTGGGCGATATCAGGATGGGGGACGTGCTGCCGACTTACGCCAGGACTTGTTGCCGCATCATGTCCTCGTATGCCGCCATCTGGATGTTGGCGTACTGTGCGGCATACATCTGCTGCAGCTGAGCAGGGGAGGTAACTACGCTGTTTGGGGAGATATGGGAGGGCATGTAAGGAGCAGGGAAGGCAGGATGAAGATGTGGAGACGGGACTTCGGAGTAAGCTGCAGACGCTGTCAGGGGCTTGGACAATGCCTGAAACAAGAAGGATGTGTTAGGTTCATTCAGGGAAATTATTACAGAATATCTAATGAGCTATGAGGAATTAATGGAAACTAGCATTTCATAATTATGATGTCTGTTGAGCTTCTGCAGCAATTTTGATCATCAGAAACCAGTTTCACAAAGCAATTTTAGTCAAGATGATTTTAATACCCATTCTTTGACAGGCTTATGACTGTTATAGTGCTAAGAACGCTCTTTCGAACATGGCCCCAATTCCCAGAATTGTCAGTTTTCAAATAGTCCTCAGTGTGGATTCAAAACAAATAGAAACCTGAGACCTGAAACGTCCATCGGCATGTTTTAGCAATGAACCTCTGGGCTACTTGCCCACATGTTGATGAGGAGATCCCATTGACAACTTACTTTATTATTGTTAAGTGGTGTACTTGTGGCAGATCTAGATCCAGTTGAAGATGGAGAGGCGCTGGGACGTTCCTGAGATCTCATGAGAGAGAGGGGACTTGAACCACGGACAGAGGCTGACCGGATATCTGACCTTGACCCTGACCGCTCATGGTCTTTGAGATTTGCTCTTGCTGCTGAGGTAGGAAACTCCTGAGGGAACAGAGCACACTTGAAGGTCTTGGGAGCAAAGTCTTTCATTTCATAATCCCGTTTTTGTTCGATTCTTTTCTGTTCTTTTTCTCTCATAGTTTTCATGCTAAAGTCAACAGGCTGGTCCTGGCTACTGTTCATGTCTGGTTTAGTGTGGTTCGTATGAGCAGGAGTGATTCGACCCTGTGGCGGATCGGCTCTCGCACGTTTCACACTATTAAAGAACGGATCGTTGGCTAAAACAGGACTAAGGTGGGGTCGCGGATGGTCTCGGGATGGCAGGTGAGACGTTTGTGGCACGTTAGGGTATGGGTATGGCCGTTTGAGTTGTTGATGAGAGTGAGCTTGCCCACTGTGGGCAGGGACGATTGGCTTTGAGCTGTATGTTGATGGGGAGTGAGACCGGGAGTTCGAGGTGCCCTCATACTTCACTTCATCAAGTTTTGGTTTCGGCGTGTGTTGTATCACAGATGGCCTCATGCTCGGAATGGCTTTTTTCAATTGGTTTTCGTTGATTTGTGAAGCATTGTTGGTAACAAACAATGAGGATTTTGGAAAATACACGTTGCTGTTTTCACTGGCATGGGCAGCAACCTCCACAGATGACGAAGATGACGGGTGAGCAATGAAATGAGATGCGGGCAAGGGGAAATTGCTTGCATAGAACAGTGCATGTGTACTTATCACGGGGGTCTGTGGGGGCTGGGTGTGTGGCGTCTGCTGTAGATGAGCAGACGTCTGTACAGGCGGAAGTGGTGTCTGCTGTTGTGACTGGGTGGGTTGCGACTTCACATGGTTTTGAACCTTACGTTGAACTAAAGGCGATAAAATACTTGGCCGTGTGCGTTGTTTAACTGATGGCACTTCGAGGTCTGTTTTCTGAACTGAAGATATCTGCACATTTTCGATTTTGACTTTGCCGTTTTCAATACTGGCCATTTTGGGAATCTGAACTTTGACCTCTTTCAGCGTTTCCATTGCGAGGTCTTCAACTTTGTTCTCTTTAGATGAAACTTTATCCAACATTTTCTTCACCGTCTGTCTTGGGTGGCCTCGTTTCAGCTAAAATGGAAATTCAATACGTGTAAAAGTGACAGTGACTCAGATGAAGTTTCATCACAGACCTGAACAGCAGTTTCAATCATGTCTAAATTTTCAATTCAATATTGGAGATAGCGATATTCGAAGTGACACAGGCTTTACGAAACTTTCATGAATTAGACAAGCCTAATCAGGGATGAAACCAGCAGGTACTAGCACAGTTGAGATACAACTTGCACATAGTGTTAAAGCATCTTTCCCTTTTGTTTAATTCTTTTATTTCACGGTAATTTTGCAGACTTAGCATGAGTGTGAGTGAGTGAGTTTAGTTTTACGCCACACTCAGCAATATTCCAGCTATATGGCGGCGGTCTGTAAATAATCGAGTCTGGACCAGACAATCCAGTGATCAACAACATGAGCATCAATCTATGCAGTTGGGATATGATGACATGTGTCAACCAAGTCAGCATGAGTATGGACAACACAATCCTGTGACTGATAATGATCACATGATCTAGACAGTTTGGGTACAATGACACAAGGTCATTGAATCAGAAAGCATGAAGTGGGGATTCATTAGGTTGTTGAGGATGTATTCTAAACGACTCCCAACAGCACCTGCATGACAACCCACAGCATCGAAGACAGTGAACCTTTTAGGCAGAGCAACCCATGGTGTATCCAATAGCTTCTACTAGGCCCATTTATAATTATCTTGCCTCGCACATAAATGTCGTTTTCTGATTGGCTGAGTGCTCTTCTATTATTTTCCATGTACCCCGCTAACAAGCGAGTAATGACGAACTCGAATAGCATTGAATCATGTATGATGTACGGAAATTACCGATGTTTTGTGAATGCAAATCGATGGAAGGGAGATAACTCTAAATTTGTTTTTCTTGTCCTCTAGTACTCCATACTACGATACGATACCCGTGCTTCAAACAATTCAAAATTACCATTGAGGTGTTCGGTAAGATAAATATGTTGTTCACTGGTCCCTCGAACCCAAGGGTTGATGTACCCTCGATGTTTCTTTATAAACAAACATCAAGGGTACATCAGCCTATGTCCCCCTCAAGACCAGTGAACAACTTATATTCCTATTGTTAATAGCTCAAGCTGATACACATCAATGGTGCTGCAGGATCACAAGAAGGCAGGTTGTTAAGTGAATGACTCTGATTACCTGTGAATTTACCTGATCACGTTCCATAGCCTTCTGGCGACGGATCTCATTCCATTTCCGAACCTTATCTTCCATAGACACATCAATTGCTTGCATCTAAACATACACAAACATACATGAAGAGGCTACTTCGTTTCTGTGTGTTTCTTGTAGCAAAAGCTGTAGTTCTAGCAAAACAAAGCAAAGTGACATCTAGGTCAGGGGGAGATAACTCTGTCAGTTGGGAGACCATACCACTAGGGATAGCTATGACTTAGTGTTAAAATTTTCACTTCATTCTTTATGTGTCTGTGGAAACCACAGAACTAAGGCAACCATAATCCAGAGGGAATGTTTACGCCATAATTAGCTGTAGTTCTAGCAAAGATGAGAAGAATTCCATATTACAACTTGACCAAGAAACACTCATTGCAATATGCAAATTTGAGCAATTTTCTCACCATATCACAGAAGATGACGCAAAGAAAGGTTGCAAATTGAATCCAGGTCTTTGGCAAAACAAGCCAACCTTTGGCCACCCCACTGCCAAATCTATTATCATTTACAGTACCATACAAAGATGTTACTGAGGTACTTTATATATTTTGCTTACCAGTAATTCCTTCTTTTCATCCAGTTCTGACTTCAGTTTGGCCTTATCATGACCTTTATTCTGGTTGTTGATCATGGCCTTGACCTTTGACTTAATCTTATTCCGGGGTTCATCTCCCTTTTCATAGCGTTCAAAGGCCAGCAGTAACCTAAAATAGTTACAATATGTAGTACAAAATTCCATGCACAACAGAAATTCTACAGAATTTTGCCTTTTACATTTTGCCAAAACACACAACTGACTGACTGAGTTTTGGTTTTACGCCGCTTTTAGCAATATTCCAGCAACATCACGGCAGGGGACACCAGAAATGGGCTTCACACATTGTACCCATGTGAGGATTCGAACCCGGTCTTCGGCGTGACAAGGCAACGCTTTAACCACTAGGCTACCCTACCGCCCCCTCAAAAACACACAAAGAGCAGGAGATCTAAACATTGTCCAGACAAACACACACTGTCCAGATGATTAAGTTATCTGCCCATGTTGTGACCTGCTGCTTATAGCAAGAGATGTCTGCAAACATATTGGGCTGTATGCCTAGCGTGCAGAAGGCCCTGGGAGTAACGTACACTGGGCCGTGGGAGTGACGTAAAGAGGCCCTGGGAGTAACGTACACTGGGCCGTGGGAGTGACGTAAAGAGGCCCTGGGAGTAACATACACTGGGCCGTGGGAGTGACGTAAAGAGGCCCTGGGAGTAACGTACACTGGGCCGTGGGAGTGACGTAAAGAGGCCCTGGGAGTAACGTACACTGGGCCGTGGGAGTGACGTAAAGAGGCCCTGGGAGTAACGTACACTGGGCCGTGGGAGTGACGTAAAGAGGCCCTGGGAGTAACGTACACTGGGCCGTGGGAGTGACGTAAAGAGGCCCTGGGAGTAACGCACACTGGGCCGGGAGTGGCGTAAAGAGGCCCTGGGAGTAAAGAGGCCCTGGGAGTGAAGTAACGTACACTGGGCCGTGGGAGTGACGTAAAGAGGCCCTGGGAGTAACGTACACTGGGCCGTGGGAGTGACGTAAAGAGGCCCTGGGAGTAACGTACACTGGGCCGTGGGAGTGACGTAAAGAGGCCCTGGGAGTAACGTACACTGGGCCGTGGGAGTGACGTAAAGAGGCCCTGGGAGTAACGCGATACACTGGGCCGTGGGAGTGACGTAAAGAGGCCCTGGGAGTAACGTGACACTGGGCCGGGAGTGGCGTAAAGAGGCCCTGGGAGTGGGCGGGCCGTGGGAGTGATGTAAAGAGGCCCTGGGAGTGACGTACACACTGGGCCGTGGGAGCCTGGGCGTGGAAGCGGATGTAAAGAGGCCCTGGGAGTAACGCGTACACTGGGCCGTGGGAGTGATGTAAAGAGGCCCTGGGAGTAACGCATTACACTGGGCCGTGGGAGTGACGTAAAAGAGGCCCTGGGAGTAACGCACACTGGGCCGTGGGAGTGATGTAAAGAGGCCCTGGGAGTGACGTGACACTGGGCCGTGGGAGTGACGATAAAGAGGCCCTGGGAGTAACGTGACACTGGGCCGTGGGAGTGAGCGTAAAGAGGCCCTGGGAGTAACGTTACACTGGGCCGTGGGAGTGATGTAAAGAGGCCCTGGGAGTGGCGTACACTGGGCGTGGGAGTGACGTAAAGAGGCCCTGGGAGTAACGTACACTGGGCCGTGGGAGTGACGTAAAGAGGCCCTGGGAGTAACTTACACTGGGCCGTGGGAGTGAGGTAAAGAGGCCCTGGGAGTAACGTGGGCACTGGGCGTGGGGCTGTGGACGACGTAAAGAGGCCCTGGGAGTGACGTACACTGGGCCGTGGGAGTGATGTAAAGAGGCCCTGGGAGTAACGTACACTGGGCCGTGGGAGTGACGTAAAGAGGCCCTGGGAGTAACGTACACTGGGCCGTGGGAGTGATGTAAAGAGGCCCTGGGAGTGACGTACACTGGGCCGTGGGAGCGACGTAAAGAGGCCCTGGGAGTAATGTACACTGGGCCGTGGGAGTGAGGTAAAGAGGCCCTGGGAGTAACATACACTGGGCCGTGGGGAGCGTAAAAGAGGCCCTGGGAGTGACGTACACTGGGCCGTGGGAGCGACGTAAAGAGGCCCTGGGAGTGACGTACACTGGGCCGTGGGAGTGACGTAAAGAGGCCCTGGGAGTAACGTACACTGGGCCTGGGAGTGATGTAAAGAGGCCCTGGGAGTGACGTACACTGGGCCATGGGAGCGACGTAAAGAGGCCCTGGGAGTAATGTACAGCCTGTGCAATTAATACAAGAAGAAAGCCCGAAGAATGTGAGTAAGTATGGTTTAACAGCACTTTGCACTCACTCACAGTGAATCATCTTGACGAGGGAGGAAAACTTAAAGTGATGCAATGCTTACACTGTGTCCATTACTGTGTCTAAATGTTCGAAGAGTTCCACGGATTAATTAAGCTCAGTGTTAAATCAAATGTCAGTGGTGTACTTTCATCAATTAAGTTTACATCTACAACATGCTTCTGAACAAAGTTTTTATAAATGAATTACACTGTCCCTTATGTCTCCCTTATTTAGGTTTCCATCTTCGAGACCCACCTCTCATAATGCCTTCGTGTACAGGTGGCAGCACTAGTACTCCCTGGATGCCCGCCAAGCTTGTCATACAGATGTTTCCAGAGCCTCTTCTCTGTGATCTGATAATGTAACAATATGTATCTATGATAAAAAGAACAACACGTATCTATGACAATAACAGCATGCATTATTTGACAAATTACCTACCTTCTGTGATTGTATGAGTAGCTGTTTACCATTAATCCACCATGGCCAGTTAGTTTATACAAGGGTCATAATTTCATAAAGATTTGGATGATGAAACAGTAAGTGAGTAGTTTCATCGGTTCCCATATGCGTAGATCAATGCTCAGCTGTTGATTACTGGATTGTCTGGTCCAGGCTCGATTATTTACAGACTGCTGCCATATAGCTGGAATACTGCTGAGTGCAGCATTTAACGACAACCAAACCAAAACTATAAAGATTCAGGAGATGTTTGTGCAAGACTTACCATGTCGTAGCCACCAAGTTTCTTCGCATATGAGTAGAAGTAGTAGAGATCTACTGGAAGAAATGATAGTGACACTTGACAGCATTAAGGAAGGCAACAGATGTCAGATCCAAACTACTGGCTATATTCATCCTATACATCATATTGGGCAGTTTGGAAGATGACAAACCTTGTAATGATGTAATAACATGGCTTGTGTCCTTGTGGAGAATTTGGAGCGGAACAGAACCCTGTACCCTGTGTTTGTGTCCGTGTTAAGAATTAGGTGTGGAACAGAACTTTGTACCCTGTGCTTGTGTAGGTGTGGAGAATTTGGGGTGGAACAGAACCTTGTACCCTGTGTTTGTGTAGGTGTTAAGAATTAGGTGTGGAACAGAACCCTGTACCCTGTGCTTGTGTAGGTGTGGAGAATTTGGGGTGGAACAGAACCTTGTACCCTGTGTTTGTGTCCGTGTTAAGAATTAGGTGTGGAACAGAACTTTTTACCCTGTGCTTGTGTCCGTGTGGAGAATTTGGGGTGGAACAGAACCTTGTACCCTGTGCTTGTGTAGGTGTGGAGAATTTGGGGTGGAACAAAACCTTGTACCCTGTGCTTGTGTCCGTGTGGAGAATTTGGGGTGGAACGGACCTTGTACCCTGTGCTTGTGTCCGTGTGGAGAATTTGGGGTTGAACAGAACCCTATACCCTGTGCTTGTGTCCGTGTGGAGAATTTGGGGTGGAACAGAAACTTGTACCCTGTGCTTGTGTAGGTGTGGAGAATTTGGGGTGGAACAGAACCTTGTACCCTGTGCTTGTGTAGGTGAGGAGAATATGGGGTGGAACAGAACCTTGTACCCTGTGCTTGTGTAGGTGTGGAGAATATGGGGTGGAACAGAACCTTGTACCCTGTGCTTGTGTCCGTGTGGAGAATTTGGGGTGGAACGGACCTTGTACCCTGTGCTTGTGTCCGTGTGGAGAATTTGGGGTTGAACAGAACCCTATACCCTGTGCTTGTGTCCGTGTGGAGAATTTGGGGTGGAACAGAAACTTGTACCCTGTGCTTGTGTAGGTGTGGAGAATATGGGGTGGAACAGAACCTTGTACCCTGTGCTTGTGTCCTTGTGGAGAATTTGCAGTGGAACAGAACCTTGTACCCTGTGCTTGTGTCTGTGTGGAGAATTTGGGGTGGAACAGAACCTTGTACCCTGTGCTTGTGTCCGTGTGGAGAATTTGGGGTTGAACAGAACCCTATACCCTGTGCTTGTGTCCGTGTGGAGAATTTGGGGTGGAACAGAAACTTGTACCCTGTGCTTGTGTAGGTGTGGAGAATTTGGGGTGGAACAGAACCTTGTACCCTGTGCTTGTGTCCGTGTGGAGAATTTGGGGTGGAACAGAACCCTATACCCTGTGCTTGTGTCCGTGTGGAGAATTTGCAGTGGAACAGAACCTTGTACCCTGTGCTTGTGTAGGTGTGGAGAATTTGGGGTGGAACAGAACCTTGTACCGTTGGAGAATTTGCGGTGGAACAGAACCTTGTACCCTGTGCTTGTGTCCGTGTGGAGAATTTGGGGTGGAACAGAACCTTGTACCCTGTGCTTGTGTCCGTGTGGAGAAGCCATGGTGGCTAGGTGCCTTTGATCGCTGACTTTGTGTGCTGGCAATTAGTTGTGTCACTCAAAGAGTTCCAGATGGGACTCAACCAAAAAGAAATACTAATATCTGCACTTAACTGAGAAGGTATAATCCCAAATATGACATTTGTTATATTTGACCATTTTCTAAATGGCATGTGTGTTTATAGATTGTTACATCATTAAAAAACATGATTATATGCCACAATCCTATCATAGTTCTCATTACTTATGGAAAACATGGTAATTAACTTGACTATCACAGGATATGAATACATATCTTCATGAAATTTACAATTCAAATACTTCTCGGTCCATTTTAGCATTCAACAGTACAGCAAACATTAAGCATTTATCATCAGAACTTGACAGTTAACTAAATCATAAATGGTTCTCAGAAAGTGCTACCAGATTATATATTTAGTCTTCAGTGTCTTATTACAGCATCAGGCAATGAATATGAAACAACTTGGTAAAACACAAAGTCAGCTTACTCTGTTTGAATCCCAATGACGGAACCCTGTCTATGGGTGTCTGTCGATTCCTCATAAACTTGTGGAGACTTATCATAAAGTTCTGCTCTTCTTTTGTGACCTTGCTGCCCCCCTTTTTCCCAACTTAACCCATTCTGACTTGACCTTCTTCGAGGCTGAAAGGTCAAGGTCAAAAGTAAAGATTTTTTATCAAATGATTTATATTTGAGAAATATCAAAATGAAATATTTACTGACAGATTAGCTGAACCATTAGAGGAAAGTTATGACCATTTTGAATATTCATTCCATCAAAAAATAATGTGAACAGTCTCGTGAATATTCATCATTCATTATGTGACATCTAAAGAAACACATCACTTTGAAATGCAATTTTTTTTCAAATTTTACATATGACCAATAAAAGAAGCTGTTAGCTACCCACCCTTGACGATGTTGATGATGGTGCTTGTGAGGTGGATGCTAATGATGAAGTGTCTGAGCCATCCTCGTAACTGTCCGAGTCTTGAGAACACTCTCGTTTGAGATTCTTCTTTTTACGAGGCCGACCCTTCAGGTTAGGTGCTGTAAGACAGAGAAGTCAGGTGACATTGATAAGGAACATAACATTCACAGGCCACTCCCGACAAATGAACATAATTTCCGGCATCATACTGTTCCAGAAGTAATACAAGAATGTGAGCAGTTTTTCACCTTTGTACACGAGTCAGTATATTGATCATTCTGCCTACATAACTGCAGGCAACAAATTCTATCACTGTTACATTTGTTATATTTTAAATTCAATAATATTTTACCATCAGGTGACACTGTGAAACAATTAACGATGCAACGTAAGCAGTTTTAAGTTGCAACATCACATTTCAAAGTTGAAATATATATTTTTTGCTTCTAATGACGTCTGCAACATTATTATATTGGAAATTTTAACTATAAATTGTACATTTATATACTTATCCTATCTCACGCGATGCATACCATGAGACAGGATAAGTTTTAAAAATCTGTTGTTTCTGCCCAGCATGTGTCTCAGACTTGCAGGACAAGCTCGCCATGGTGACTACAACCTCAGGCTAGATGTTCATATTTCATAATGAGCGAAAGGTTTGAATATGACAGACTTCTGATTAAATTGCTTTGATGTGGCTACTTCTGAATGAAGATTTAATCCCAACTAGAGGCATTATTTTTGGTTGCTGATATCAAGGGAGAGTTATTCTGTACTGAAGTTTGTGATATGAGAGATGAAGCTTGTTACGTCACTTCTCAAATGAAGCTACACGTTATATATTGATGGAGCCCCATGAACTACCCACCTAGATGATCACAGCGCAACTCAAAGTCCTCCAACTCAGGATGGTAGAATGTTTCTCTGCAGAACATGATGCGACAGTTCCTGGATTTCACTGAGAAGCCACCGATGGCGCTGACAATGGCATTCCTCAACCATTTGTCCATCATGTTCTCCAGACGCTTGAGGACGGTGCGATATCGGCAGTACTGAGGGTAACTCATGATGACCACTTGCTGGACATTGTTCGATACGCCCTTGTCACCTGGGAGGAAACAAAAATATAATCAGATTATCTTTTAATGGAACAGATACAACAAAAGGATTCATTTTAACATAAACCCTGATTCAGTTGTTTACATATTTACCGTATCCCCTTCAGTTTGATTGCATGAATGGTGCTAGCTTTCCAGGGAAGATGAACAAAATATATGGGTTGCAGTTAACATAAAATTGTCACACAAATGTATTTCATTTACGCAGTAAGACATGGTGCAAACAATCTCAATCAGCATTGCTTTGACAACAGTTCTGTTTATATGCCAGGAATTACATGCAACTATGTTATAAACAGCTTATTCTGGCCAAGAGACTCTTGAGACATAACTACGTTTTAGGAGAAATTAATGCAGCCCCAACACATTTATACTTAAGTGGTTAAATTATCAACAGAAACAAACACATATTTTTTCGCCTGATCCATACATCAGAACAAGGATGGTTTACCAACATAAACTGCTCTGTAAGGAACACAAATAGGTTAATTCAACCTCATTTTCTTAAATCATTTATCTTCGTCTGAAACCACCTTTGATCAAATTTGTTCTTAGAAATAATCAATAACATTTTCATCACTTCAATTGCTTTCCTAATCTTTACCTAAGTACTTACACAGCAAATGATTGTTATATATTATCTTTTCATTCAAAAACCCTGACAAGAAAAATTCATTACACTTATTCTTAGTGCTAAATTTCAAGGTCGAAAGTTAATGAAAGAGGAAATCTACATTGTTATGATACTATTAACCTAACCCTGATATTCATGAGATACTATCTTCTTAACCCCTACCAATAAGCTCCTTCTCCTTTTTGACGTCATTAAACTGCAATCCACAGTTATTACTCCTGAAGGCCTGCATCAGTTCGTCATTGTGGGTCAAATCTGGCTGACCATCATCCTCACAGAATGCCATCAGACCATCTGACCAGGGCACATCCTCTGCTATCAAGGTCACCAGATCATCCAGACGAAGAATTAATTTCTCAGAAAGAGCAAGGATTTCATGCTGGAAATAAAAAGAAAATAATCCTCCTCAATAACATGTCATACATTTCTTATCAGTGCAATGCTGCAATGCATTGTTGAAAAGCCTATACTATTCCTAGTCTCCCCCAGCCTTGACTAAGTCTACCCTTTCCACAGATGCAAGCCATCTACTAGACAGATTGCAGCTGCACTGGCCTTCAAGTCGGGGAAGAGAGAGAAATGTTTGTGTGTGTGTGTGTGTTAAATTGGTTAAAGGGTTGGCGACACTGGTTCAAATACCCTCATGGGAACAATGTGTGAAGCCCATTTCGTGATGTTGCTGGAATAATGCTAAAAGCGGCATAAAACCAAACTCAGTCAGACAGTCAGTCAAAACAAACGAGTCCTTGAATTACCTGAGATTGAAAAAACATGACAAATGCAGCTTGTACTGATTTGAGTCCTTTGTGAAAGCCGAGAAAACCACTGCACCATATCAAGGGAACATATATTTCAATTTAATGTGAAACTGCCTTCATATTCGATTTACTGATACATATCATATAAGTTGTCAACCTTTCAAGTACTAATTACAAGTGGCAGATCAGAAAGTGTAACATTTCGACTTTTATGTTTTGCATACACACAAACAAAGGAAACAAAAAAATCAGATTATTTAAACCCCATTAGATACTGTATAATTTCTTTTCCTGAAAAAAAACTTTATGCATGAATTATTTGCCATAATATACCATTATTTACTGCTTACTTGAATACTTGGTGTATCATTATTTATCAATTACTTCTTAAAATACTATTGTCCTGACCAGTTCCATGTACAGTCCTCTATTGTGACACTTGGGTGGTCCCTTCCAAAAGCGTATTCAAAACAGCTAATACTATTTTTTTAAATCCATTTTTTTGTCAGATATCGCTTGAAGAATGTGAGATCCAGAATAAGTGAGTCACACAAACAGAGACTATTCTAAATCCTCTGCAAACTACAGTGTGATATACAACAACCATTGATGTGACAGGAGATTTTGAAACATCTCACCATCCTGCAAACAAATCCATTAACTTTATCTAAATTTCAAGATTTAGACAATTTCCTTCATTTGCAACTTACATCCCTGGCTAGGATTCAGATTTAAAAATCTAACTAACTTAATCAAATCTGAAATTTGAAACAAATATTCTATCGTTCCAACACTCTCATCAGCTATCCAGTATGTGTATTCGGTGAATGCATGGTAATGTATTCATGTCAGAAGCAGACATTAATTCGACATGGGAAAATACATTAGCAGTTTCAGATGGACCACTTTATATCGTATTCATATTTAAATATTGTATCTATCCTTGCAGGATTATCTGAAAACTACAGACTTAATTAGGAATCAACGATTGATTTATTAAAATATAAAGCATCAGCTTTTTGCATGATATCATTTGTGAGGAGAAAACTAAACATAGATCAATTCTTGTCTCCTCAACATCAAATGCCATTAGGAGAACCAACATTTTGTAGTCGTACGTCGCATTTTTGACAACCATAAATGGTGAAGTCGATCCATCCAGAAATCCATAGCTGCATTATAAAGAGGAATAATTGAGAATGTAATAGATTGCACAGCTGGAGCTGTCTATGATCAATACTACCATGTTGTTATAGGACAAATATCTCGTACATGTCAAATTTATCCCGTCAGTGTCAAATCTATTGCATTATGTCAGAAATTGTCAAATCAAAACAATTTTCTTCTACTGTCTTCAAAATATGCTTAAATTTTATTTAGTAAAACATGTTCGTCAATCAGCCTACAATAACATTCGCATTACAAGTGGATGCTCAGATAACAGCAGAAAAATGCTGAAGTAATCAATAGTCACAGAGTTACCTCCCTTCACCCAATGCATCAAAGCAGAAATTGCACATGGCTGGAATATTGATTGATATCAAGCTGATTTGTTGGGAGATGAACATTAGTTGTGGCAATGAATAAAAAAACATCCAAAATGTACAATTCGCAGTGAAATTGGTAAATGTTTAGAGATTATTTTATTTTTTCAATGACATGATGTGATAGTTGCTTCAAAAGAAATATATTATTGATGACAACGCGTTGAGAAGCTGACCCAGTGGCATGCATAAATAAACATAAACAGGGAAATTGACATTTCTTTGTCGAGAGAGAGATGATTGACAACCCAAACATACAACTGATCAATTTCAGTACCTATGGGAACAATACCGCCTGTCTAACACCACAATAAATTACACTCCAATCGATCAGTTGATTAGATTCCTCAATGTAAAAGGGGTCACATCCTTTTCATAATTTCTACAGCACTTTTTTATATTTTTATCATTATTGTGAACTGACTTTTTGTATCATAAATTCTCACTCATATTTTGTGTTGCTAATATTTGCAGTAACAGATGTTTCAGAAACAGAATTACTATTCTCACTGATCAAATATGGCAAACATCATTCGTTAATTTTAAGTGAATGTTTTTAAATTTGTATTTACATGAAATGTGCCTCCATTCATATCCATCTGCCAGAGGAAACAGTGATGGATGATGGTATAAGTCTACATTGCCTGCTGAGTATGTGTCACTGAAACCTACCATTCTGTAGTCAAAGTATTAACTTACACCATATACATGGTATTTCAACTATTTGAAACCAATATCCTTATAATTACATTACCAAGATACAAAAAGCCTAATGCACTTAAATGTCAGAAGTTTTATCATTTTATTTAATAATTGTGTTTATCAAAGGGCCTCACATATCCTGCTCTCACACAAACAGGAAAGCAAAGTGAATAATATTTCAGCATTAGCAATGGGCCAAGAATATGTAGGGAGGCTCATCTTGCCAGTAATCTACTGCCATGTAAATATCACTCCTCGGTATAGCGCGCTCCCTTATAAAGCTCCACCAAGACTGGAACAGATAACTGATGTTACACAACTTAACATGTAACAGAGGTCCATGAACCTATATTTAGAATCATTCAGATGATGTAGTCATTACTACTTTCCACTTTCGCTGTATAGCGAGGTTTGCTAATGAGGCAGTAACCCATGATTTATAGAACATGGGTACATTTAGCGGATTGGTAATTAAATACATTCATTCGCACAATGGGATCTCCGTCATTGAATATGTATCTCATTGCATATAGCATTTTTTGGAAAAGATCATTTTTAGTTGGCACTGAAGGTCTTTTAAATGTTAAGATAAGAAATGACCTTTATTTGAACAGCATGTACTTCAGTTGAAAAGTTACAAATAGACTCTAGTCAACCATTGTGGACCAGATGATCCATTTCCGTGATGTGAATGATAGCTTGAGTACAATGCACATGATCACAGAAATCTCATCAAAGTTAAACTTTGGTATTTTTAAGGTCAATTATTTGACCATGTTTTTCGCTTAGATGCAATGTTGTAAAAAAACAATCCTCTTATTTTCATTTGATTGACTTACTTGAAATGCTTGCAAAATGCAGAAATATATGTAGGAAAGACTTTAATGAAAAAGGTTGGATATAACTATGCAACATATTTCTCCTAACATATAAATACAAACTGTTATTACTGATTTCATTGCAAACTTACAGCTATTTCCTCAGCATACAATGGCCATCATCATCATCATCATCTTGTGACATTAACTACTAACTGTATCATTCAATTAATTCTTATAATTACATGTATATTATTACTTTTTCTAGAGGACAGAATAATAAAATCTTTATTGATTTCAAGTTGCTTAACTGATTGGCAACCATCAATATTTCAATAAACCTCAATACAGGCAAGCTCCACATGCACTGTTAATTCCATAAAACAAATCTCTTCTCTATCAAACCTCCCAAAACAAAGTAGAAAGACATTTTGGTACTGACAAACATCATTTTATCATTGCAGAGAAATAGATATTAACTTGATGACATATCAACTGAAATAAACTGATATGTTCATTCCTTGCACTGAAATAGATATTAACTTGATGACATATCAACTGAAATAAACTGATATGTTCATTCCTTGCACTGAAATAGATATTAACTTGATGACATATCAACTGAAATAAACTGATATGTTCATTCCTTGCACTGAAATAGATATTAACTTGATGACATATCAACTGAAATAAACTGATATGTTCATTCCTTGCACTGAATAGATATTAACTTGATGACATATCAACTGAAATAAACTGATATGTTCATTCCTTGCACTGAATAGATATTAACTTGATGACATATCAACTGAAATAAACTGATATGTTCATTCCTTGCACTGAATAGATGCATCAACTGCTTGATACATAATATACCTACATCAGTTTCATAATGGACTTGTTTTAACTTTCCCATTGAAATATTAACGCGTCTACATATTGCACTGGAAAATACTAGCACCTATACTTTCAGTAAATCATCAATGTCAATATAGTGTACGAAAATTAACCACTGTCAAGTACAAACTTAATTTCATGAAATAGACATGTTTCAGTGTGTTGCACCTATGAACCGCAGTTACTTATATTGATGTACAATAAGCCCAAGTTAGCCATATGTCGCAAGATCAAACACCATCTTTGTGTCCAGTACGTGCACTAAGGGCGGTGGCTCCATGGAACAGACAAATGTCAGTTGTCACCTCACCTTCCTTCAGCAATGTCTCAGTGGGCAGTGTGACCTTTGACCCTTGCTGGATGGTATACGGTGGTCATTATAAAGACATTAAGACTGGGAAACATCTTGTGTTTAAATTTCTCAAATCTAAATCAACATAATAAACTGTTTATGTTTATATCCAACTGTCAGTGTTTACCTCAATGACTTAGATTTGTGAATCAAGGCTATGGCTTTAAAGATTCTAAAATTTACTTTTTTTTAAAATTGAAACAAGTAAATCTGAAGGTACATTTGAGATTTCTATCTATGATTACAATACTCCAAGTTCCAAATGTGACCTTCAACAAGAAAGAAATGAAAGACTTCATTGTGAATAA